TTTTTATTGATAGGACAACTCAAGATAGGAAATGGGGAGAGAAAGGGGATGACGCGCAGCAAAGGACCACAGGTGGACTTGAACTCATGGTCTCGGCCTTGGTACATCTCCTCCAGATGAGCTCTACCAGATCAGCTACCAGGGTGCTCTCTCATGAGAATTTAAGATTTTATCAGGAAGACAAAGCTCCACAAATTCACAATTCTTCCCCAATTAATCATTTAAATCAGTTAAACACTAACATTTTTAAACAAATACTGGTTGTGGAAAATCATCCATAACAATGTTACCAGAAATAATTTTCTATGTTTTGTGTAACAATTCTTTCTAGTATAGTTGTCAAGTAAACATTTTATATTCACTACCCAGTTTTATCTTATTGGTGTTGCGGCTTGCTTGTTCAAACATTTAACTAAAAATGATAGTGACAGAATGATCATTGAGGTATTGCGTTGTTGTGAAACCTTGTCTAATGGGCCTTTTTTAACAACAGACATTTTGACATTTAATAGCAGGAAAAACATTCAACAGTAAGCCATGTCAGTCATAATGCCAGGACATTTAACACCTTAACTGAATGCAGCCATCAATAAAATTATTAGTTACACTTCTGTTTTTTTTTCACGGTGTGATTTGTTCTAAACTGCGACTGAATGACTTCACCTGCAGCGCAATTTCTTCACTGTCAATATAATTGTTATTACTTTCCCATTTCATATAGGGAGGCTTTTGTTCTTGAACCTCCATATGTGAAAATAGTGTATGGGTGCAGCTGCAGTTAGAGTAACATGCATCTAATGGCTTGACCTTTCTTGTGTGTGTTTCTACACATGCTTGTGTACATTTGTCTGTTTATGGGTGTGTGCATCTAGAAAAGCACTTATGTAAGAGCTTATATGTCATATGTGTGCATTTGTGTGTGCCTTGTAACATGTTTACTGTATGCAAATATTTGTTTTTGCACACTGCCATAAGATAAACATATTTTAAAGCTGAACATTATTTCCTGTGTGCCCCCCACCCAGAAACACACAAACATACTGCATGTACACACAAGCACATACTATCCATACAATTTAAAGCTTGAGCAGCATGCACAAAAACTATATACACACCCACCCATGAATACAAATGAGCATGCATTCATGTACACAAAACACAGGTTCCCTCAGCTGGACTCTGCTGATCGTCCCTTGCAGTGTTTGCGTTAGTTCATTGAGTTCTGAATCAACTGTTAGAAGAGTCCGCAGTGCAATGAGGGGGGACAATTAGCCTAATGAAGTGCAGGAGACAATCACACTCAGTGCTGTGCTAACAGTTGCTCAGTGAATATTCATGTGCTGTTGGCTTTGCAGATGCATTAAAAGGCGGCGCTGCGTTGCTGAATACCAATCATTACATTTCCACCTGTCGCTTGTCTGCTCCCTCAGTGAAGATAACATCCTAATCAGCTTCATTGCTGTGAGGCTTTTTGGAGCTCATTGCGTACACAGGCCACATCTATTATCCTATCCTGCTACATCTGCTTCTGTCAGATATTTAAAAACATAAACACTCCTCACCTTTTAGAAATTAATCAAGACACATCACAGTCCTATTTAAGGATAGAGTAGATGATGTCTTACTGTGAGGTGGACCATGCATGTACTCTTGTTAAGATGTAAAATGTTAAATGCTAACACCAAATCACAAACAGTCACAAATATTAGGCATCTTACACACAGTGGGTTTCAATAAGTGCTTCTTTACGTCTTTAATTCTCAGAAATTAATCAGAAAAACTGTTAGGTACAATGTCTTTCTTTTTTTTGATGAATTTCTATCCATAGAGAATAGTTGCTCATGCTAAAAAATGTTTATTCCAAACCAGGGCTGGTCAAAGTAGGGCCCGCAGGGCAAAGTTGGCTCGCCATACGGGTTTGATTTAGCCCGCCATGTGTTTCTAACAAAAAACAATAAAAAATGTATTTATAATACAAATCACTATTATTTTTTGTGGGGTCAAATATTTCAATTCAATTCAATT